ATTGTCTGAGACCACTATAGTAAAAAGTTAAGAAAAGGAGTTTATGCTAACAAAAACATTCTATGATAGTTTCCAGGGATGGAAGGGTTGGAGAACTTTAAAATGAAACAAAGATGGCAATCTCTATGGCAGGACACTGCCTCATGTTTTCCCTCAGAGTGGCTGGTTGGTAGGTTCAAATTACTGGCCTTTCAGTCAAGCCAAGTGTGTAACCATGAAACCACCAGGGACCCCTCGAAAAGCCTTGTTGTTAAAGTGCCATCAAGTTGTTTTCACCCTGCCAAGGAGTGGCTGGTAGGTTTGAGCCGCCGACCTTGTGGTTAGCAGTCCAGTGCTTATCCTACAGCACACACCAGGACGCCTTCAGAAGCTTTACTGAGGTACAATTTACATTCCGTAGGATTCACCCACATGGATGGACTACAGCAGAGGCTCGTGCGGGGCCCAGCAGTGCTTCGTGACATTGTCAACAGGGCAGCAGTGAGTACGGCCGACTGGAAGGTCCCTAACAACCGCCTCACATTTCTTAATAAACTAAATTTTCTATGAATCAAATAGTCACACGTGACGTATGAAACCAAAGGAGTATAAAAAAAGAGTAGGTCCGCATTGACTGAGTCACCATCACCAGGAAAAAAGGTTGTGTGTGCCCTCATTAGGACAAGAATGCAGAAGTGATAAAGTGTCTGTGGACTCTGTTTAGATGTCGGGTTACTGGGACAAAAGAAGACCAAGAGACACGTGAACCTAGACAAACACTGGCGACCTGCAGAAAAGTCAACCGAGCCACTTCCAAGCTCACAAAACCCCTGGGGCTCTGGTTTTAAAAGACGCACGACTCAGAAAACATGGCAAAGTTTGTTTAAAGTTCAAACCTGCTGCTGCTAAGCGGATTTGACTCATGGGACTCCATGTGCTAAGAGCAGGAGGCTGTGACCTTTGGGAAACCATGGGTGGTTCTGAGCCAGCACCTACTGCTGCTGAGCTGATTCCGACCCACGAGGAGCCCCAGGTGTGCCAAGGAGAAAGAATTGCTCCCGGAAGCGTTCGCGCCGCTGTGAGCTTTTGGAGGCCAGAGCCCTTGACCTATCCTCTAAGGCATCCCTGGTGGGCTCGTTTTATGTAAAGCACGCGGTTCCAGAGTAGCTGGCCCCAGCACGTCACACTACAGGCTGGGAGTCATCCACCGAGACTTTACTAAAGTCCACAAGCAATCACAATGCACAACCACACGAGTGCACTCAGCAAGCTGCTCCTATCAACAGGGAAACGGTCAAATCGGTATCATGGAGCCCACGCAGCTGTTGACATGAGAGGCAAAGCAGGAAGTCTGGGCTGAAAATCAAGGGAGCAGATGAGGGGCGGAGCCCGGGCCTGGCCTCCCTGCGTCCCCCTGGGAACAGCTCTACGGGACAGGCAGGACTGGCTGGTAAGTCAAACTCTTAAACTTGATTAGAGTTACCATTCCCAATACCATCCAGGATTCCCTGGACAAGGGGATTATGTTAGTGCTTGAAAGATAAGAAACTTACAAATGGTGTTTTAAAATAATTTTGCAATTCCCTTGAAATGCCTAACTTGGGTATTGGTCACCAATTCACTTTTGGATAACTAGGACTCGTAACGTGACAAAGGCATCTAGAAATCTCTTATCTTAAGTGACTTCCTTTCTACTTTTCTGTCACTCAACACAACCGGTCGCTTTCCTTTCAGCATTAGCTCTGCCCTAGATAGGAGCAGCTCCACAGAAGAAACCGGGTCTGCTCACCTTGCTCACAGGGGGCATTAGAGAGACCAAGTTGTGGGTAGAGACTTCATTTAGAAGAACCTACTGCACGAGGCCTGCTTCGCACTTTCCTGTAGCTATAAACCCTTTGTTTCCACTTGAGCAGAAGAATACTCAGTATTTTCACTTAAAATTCTTTTATTCTTTCAATGAACATTCATACTGTAACAGAATCCTGAGGATAATGCAGCTCTCACTCCAACACTGCTCCCTTACCATTTCTTATGAACTGTTTCAGCTTTACTGACCTTGAAGACCGGATTTAGGTGGTCAGCTGATCTCAGAATAGGCCTCCTCAACTCGTCCTCAGAAGAGACTTTTTTCTAAACCCTTACATACTTTGGGGGGTCCTGGTGTGGCGCCGTGGGTTAATGCACTAGATTGCAAAGCGGTTGGAACTGCAAAGTTAGTGGTGGTTCAAGCTCACCAGTCACACCTCAGAAACACCGTACAGGGTCACTATGGGTCGGAACCAACTCGATGGCACTTAACAACCACCACCACCATACTTTGTACTTTTCCAGAACCTTGCTTGGTCTAAACCCAAGGGGAAACTAACTCCCTGGCGAGTTATGGTCAATCGATCAACTAGCAACTCTGTAAATCTCAGCCAATCACCACCTTCTGCGTATTTGTAGTTGTTGTGAAGTGCTGTGTGTAGGTTCCAACTCACTGCAACCCTGTATAGGGTTTTGAGGAGCAGCTGGTGGGTTTGAATCACCACCCTGGTAGTTAGCAGTCCAGTGTTTATCTTACAGTGTTAACTAGGACGCCACTAAATAGCAGAATGGACATAACTGGCTAAAAATGAGTTCGAAATTGAAGCAAAACCAAGTGAAGACCTCTTCCTAACTCTGGAAAGCATTAGATACTTGACATACTGGGGAGGCCAACGCCCTGAGCAGCAGCAGACGAAGCGAGGCAAAGGTGTGCAGCGCTCCAAAGTAAAATCCAACCTGTCCAAACATGCCAATACTTGACCCAGCTCACCAGGAACGCATCTGCCTGCCAACATTTAAGAATAACATTAAATGTAATGGCCCATCTTAAATAAATACGGTCAAATGTCTTCTTGACAAAAAATCACTACATTTGAGTACTGAAATTACAAATCTTTGGTCAACCTGATTCTCAACTCCATTGGTGCCACCCCTTGTCCAAAGGATTACTTCTACTGTGCCCCATGAAGAATGAAAAGAACACAAACGCAGGCCCCAAACTCAAAGTCCACTCAGACATACACATTCTACTCAGAAATGAGACTTTCTGAGTACTTGGGTCTATTGTCAAGCACCTTTGGGACCCGGGGCCCCCAGTGAGAATGTATGAGACTGAAATGAGTCTCTCTGGTGGCCTTTGCCCGGGTTCTCTCGTCTTGGTTCTATGGAAAAACAGGTTCCCCCAAAGCGCTGTTGTCTCTCTCACAGGGTTTGCTAACTTATGTCCCAGTTGATTATTTCCTGGGTAAGCTGAAAGCAACCTGATGGTTTGATACTTTTTGTCTGGACCTGGGCTGCAGGGAGCCCTGTGACTGTAGGCACCTTACGTAGAGGGGTCCACAGATTATGCAAATAAAATGACTGATTATAGCCTACTACGCAAAAGTGTTCGTGCTCTGCTGAAAGGGAATTAATAGGTTCGTTTGTGGTCCCTGCTGGAAGGGGCCATGCCTTGAATTTGAAAAGAAATTGTGTATACATATGCAATCAATTCCACAAAGGTTTTTCAGACAGAAAGAAGTGGTAAGAGAGCAAGCAAGGAGGAGGAGAAAAGATGAGAAGAGAGAGAAAGAAGGTCAAGAAGCTCCCTCAAGAGGACTGTAACATGGGTCCAGGGGCTGTAACACTGAAGACAACAAGAAGGGACCCTGGGGCAAAGTCAGTGGTGACAGATGGCTCGGGCAAGAGGAAGAGCCGTCCATCCTCACTGTCCCTGTCCTGCACTAAAGATGGGAGACTTTGCTCACATGCTTTCTGGTCCCAAGTTGTACCCTGTTGCTTCCCTAACACACTGTTTAACTGTGAGTCTCGGTCTGAGTTCTGTGTGGTCACTGGAACCAATTAGTAAACCAAGCAGAGAAGTAGAAAGTATCACGGGAGGACAGGCAGTGTTAGAATTGGTGAAGAGGTTGGAGAGGGCAGGTCGGTCTGGGGAAAGAAGGAGCGCCGGGAGAGGCCAGGGTGAACTACCGTCCACTGCACTTGGCCCCTTTCTGACACCTTGACACACACAGCCGAGCCCCAAGCCAAGCAGCACCTGCACAGTCCCTGAGGCCGGCCAGTGGCAGGGACTCTCCTACCGTGACAGGGACACTGCCATTACAAGCCCTGGAGCTTGTCCCTGAGGACAGGGTCTGAGCCACACAGATGCCCCACCCAGTTGATGAGCAAGCCACAGTCCAATAGGATTACGGTCATGCTGGACACACACTAGCCCTTGGCAACCCACTGCAGAATTATGGTAGCTGCCACCCTGTGGGGAGCACTGCAATGAAGGAGCGAAGACAAGCAAAGGTCAGGCACAAGCAGCAGCTACTGGACACAGTGACCAATCAGTGACCAGTCTGACACTGTTGTGAGCACGCCTAGCCACGTCAGCCTAGAGCATAGAAGAAAAAGCTCAAGAGGCTTCACTGCGCACTGTCTGCGGAGACAAGACGCTTCTCTGAGGAAGAGAAACTCATCCGGTCATTCCAGAGAAAGACAGTACAAAAGCACCTGTTTTCTTCCCAAACAGTCCCGTCCTACCTTCGGGGCCCGCTCCGTCTCCGACATGCTCTCCTTGGAAGTCCGGCTGTCCTCTGTGGGGAATGCCGCTGCCTGCTCGGCCCCGTGCTCTTCATCCTCGTCCAGCTCCTCGGAGTCGTCCGAGTCCGAGTCCATCTCCAGACTCTCTCCATTCACATGCAGGGCGCTGTCACCCAGGTCCTTCTCACCCTGGACACACAAGCAGAGCCCTGAGCAGCATGACCTGACCTTGTCTGCAAGCAGAGCTGCAGCCCAAGCCCCCACCACATGGGCTAAGGACTCTGCGAGGAAGGAAGCAAGCAAAGAGGACCAGCCAGGGCGCCAATGACCCACCCGGACACCAAGGCTCTGGAGTTCAGGTTCCTTCCATAAGGGTTGAGATCCTTAAGTTATTGATGACCTTACAGGATAGGGACTAAGGCCATCTAAGTTACTCATGACCTCACACGACGGGGATGACAGTCGTCCACGTTACTGATGGCCTCACAGGATAGGAACTAAAGCCATCCAAGTTATTGATGACATCATAAGGAGAGGAACTAAGGTCATCCAAGTTACTCATGACCTCACACGACGGGGATGACAGTCGTCCACGTTACTGCTGACCTCACACGTGCTCTTTGCGCCAGACGGCTGCTGGGTACAGAGCGCATTTCCAAGCACACACGACAAATAATGGAGTCGTTGACCTTACCTTGGAACCCACAGCGGAATGAGTTAGACTCTTAAACATCTCAATCATCGTCCTCTGTTTTAATACTTTGGTCTTTTTCTTAGGAACCAGGCTATAGGTTCCCATTCTTCGTTTTTTCTTCCGAGACACTGCAGCTGCTAAAACAAAAGGCAAGCAAGCTAAAAAAAAAAAAAAGTCAAAAGGAGACAAGAAAGGAAAAGAAACACCATTCAAATGTGTTTAAAAGCAGGTGACAGTTCACATAATCTCATTACTAGAATCACCAGTAAATGCCATCCCATTAGACCCATCACATTTCAGGGCAACCACAATGCATCGGTTTGTGTGTGTTTCTTACTTTGTTTCTGATAGGCAACAGAGAACGCAAAATAAACGTACACACATAACACTGAACCGTACAGGGCAGGGACTGCAGGGCCCACACCACTCAGAGCTCTCTGAGGACAGGGGACGCAGTACATGGAAGCTCGGGTGGCAGGACCGGCGCATCCCGATGGGACACCAGGTGAAGGGGCAAGTCCTAGGGTGACCAGCGTCAGTGGGAGGAACCCATGAGGGGCGCCCAGGAGCTGTGGGCCTCATTCTGAACAAAGCACTTCCCCTTTGATGGGGTGTATAGAAGTAGACCCCTACTTAAAGGGCAGAGAGTCTGGGGGGGCAGCTACGAGGAGCCTTGCTGAGTGGATGTCACTGCAGGTCTGAGCACACACTCCGGGGTGCAGCCGAGGACACAGGGCTGAGCTGAGGAGACAATTTCTCTCACAACTTCATTGGGGGAAGTGCTCTACATTTCAGGTAGCATGCCCTAGAAGCCAGCTTTAAACCATGCACACTACATCTCGCTTGTTTTCGCCACATCTGCTCGCTGCTGGCCAGATTCCTCCTTTCAGCCAGAGTGCTAGGGAAGGGGTGTGGTGTTCAGAGAGAGCAGGGGCACATGTAGGGTGGGTGTTGCATGGAGACCCACAGGAGGCTGCTGCCCAGAAACACCCCCCAGTATGGGGAGGAGAGGGTCTCATAGACCTGACAAGTTCAACTGAATAAAACTAAAGACAGAATGAATGACAGAATCACCAGCATAAAAGCCAATGTGTACTAGAACCTTCCGTGTTGTGAAAGTGAAGTACGGACCAGACACCATCAGCCACTCCTCCACACAGGAGAGGCACTGAGGGCATCCCGACCACAGGGACTTGTCATTGAGGGTGCAGCAACGACATGTGTCACCCAGTGACAGTCTTCAGGTGAAAACACGGGACCAGCAGCTTGAAATGGTCTACAAAACACTGGCCTGCAACTTCCAAAGTGCAAAGACAAGACAGACAAGGCTAGGAGATGTCACAGGTGGAAGGACACACACGAGATGCGACCACAAAATGCACAGTATGAGGCTGGGCTGGATCCTGGGCCAACGCCATTGTCCTGCTGTATGTGGCTGGGAGGATGCAGCAACGGTCAAATAACAGGTCACCTGGCAATAACTGCACACAGTCTACAGCTGAGACCAGGCCTACGTCAAAGGTCATTCCCAAGGACACATCATGGGCACATACCACAGCCTCACCAGACACCAGGCCGGGAAGGTGCCGGCCTCCCACACCCAGTGGTTTCCAATCAACAGGGAACAGCAGGAGAGAAAACCGCACCAGAGGCTCAAATTTCTCCAACAACAACATGTGGCCTCACTGGACTGGGTGAGACCACAGCCCTGACATACTCTTCAAGTCTTGGACCAGAATTGCCTTTGAAGACCACCTCCTAGCTAAATAACAAACTAGCTCAAAAATTCATCACTACCACCCCAAAGAACTGGACTTTACTGAAAATCACCTACATGAGACTCAATGGGCAACAACCACTTTTTTAAAGAAAGATGCGACTACAAGTGGGCAAAGGAGCTAGATGAATGGAGACCACACAAGTAGAATGGAAACAGGAGAAAGTTCTCACCCGTCTACTATAGCACCAATGTAAATCAAAACTGAGTATAAACGCTGAAGGAGAACCAAAACTGTGGGGCAAACCTTCAGCAAAAGCATAGTAAAATATTATTTAAAAAACCCAAACAAACAGGTAATCTCCTGACGTGGATAGCTTGCTGTAGCTCTCTAAGAGCATGGCCTTGCTGTTGAAAAATTACACGGTTACTGTCAAGGAACATAGTGACACGGGGGATTCAGAAATAAAGCTACACACAAGGTATGGGGGCAAACACGTGGTAAAGCAGGTAAAGAATATTCAGGGATTCTTCACAGCACAGTCTGCAGCTTTTACAGCCCCCTGCAGGCCCAGACAACGCTGCCCAGGACACCAGTGTGCACGAAGGGAGCAGCAAGCAAGTGTCTCCAGATTCACAGGCGCACACAGACACACCTCACGTGACCCCATAAGTACATCTCTAGAGACTGTTGAGTTCACCCCAATCAGGAGACAAAGTGGAAGAGGGCTTCCAGCAAGATGGCGAACTAGACAGATGCACTACAAGGCCCTCTACACCAAAGATTCGAAACACGAGATGAAACAGAAACAGATGAAAATCCTGAAACCCTGCGCTTCAGAGGAAAGGTCAGAGAAGTGGACTGAGTGCCTGCTGGGAGGAGAAGCTGAGCAGGGACAGCGAGAGAGGGAGAACTGACTGATGAACAGCCAGCTACATGGGGTGCAACCATCTTCAACCTTTGAGAGGTTGGCCTGGCAGAGCACATTCACACAGGCAGCAGGAATGGGGCGATTCCTTCTTTCCCCCCACGCTCTCCCGGTGACCAGCTATGGTCAGTTCCTACACCCTCATCCACCTCCAGCCCAGACCCTGCTCTCCCGGTGACCAGCTATGGTCAGTTCCTA